AAACCCAAACAAAAATCAGCTACAGTTTATAAACGTTTAGTTTTTACATTCACATATTGAAATTAAGCTTTCTGTTTAATGGTTACATAAAAGAACATCAGACATGTTCCTGTCCAGAATGTCTTTTTGTTTCCACCGACTTCATTTTTTCCACTTCCACACCAAAGTGTTCTCATTAGTAATATCTGATCAGTTCAGATCAGATTTCTTGTTTCTTAACAGCCGATCACCGATCAGTAATCCCCCTGTTGATCTCAATTCTTCTTTTCCAGGCAGACTCTTTAGGCATGAATGAACAAGAGCTCCCCAATCTTCTCAGCCTACTCAAAGGCTCCAACATCACGGTGCTGTCAGACCCAAACCCTCGTGTAGCGACCGTCCTCGACCAGATGAGGGAGGTTTACCGCATCCTCAACCAGCGCTACCAGGCTGCTAACTCAGACAGCGCCACCAGCGGCGGTAAATCAAAGGGTAAGCCTCTGACTCGCCTCCATGTCCACACGCTGGCCTTCCAGGCCATGATTGTGACACGTGGCTCCCAGTGGAAAAACACAATGTCCGCCACCGCCAAGGCCTCGCTCACGGCGAACCGTCACGTCTGCGGCTCAAACGACATCGACCTGAGCAAAGCCAGGCTCATTATGGACGACTCGTTCTCCGTCAGCCACCGCAAGGGCAGCCAGCGCATCCCGCTGCAGGAGAGCCGGCCGGTCAGCTGCTGGGATGAGGACGACTACCAGATCTGCGTGGCGCCGGTGCTGGTATGCACTGACGTTTATCAGACTGCGGGTGGAGGGGACAACATCTCCGCTGCCGGTTTGGTTCTGCAGATTTAAAGAGGGACACTAGATAGTCCTTTTTACTCTTGAGTCTCGGTGTGTTGCACCCGATCCTTCAGGTACTGACATGGCTGCACGGCTAACGCCATCATTAAATTTGCAGCTCTGGGCCCAAACTGAAAATAAGAAAGTCATTGTTATTACTTCAGAGTCGGATCATGGATATTTCTGTCGTTGACTCTGTTCTAACTTGCAAAAGACGTGCAATAGAAACTCATTAAATATTAAATTGTAGTTTTCTTTCTAATCCAACTGGATTTTCTTTAGTTTCAGGACAGTCTCATTGATTCACTGTCACTGAAACTGAGTAGTCACAATTTTTCTGTTTGGATCATTTTTAACAACATTTAACATTTATAAAACATTCTGATAAATCTGTTTCATCATCCGACTCTGGTGATTTTATTTCTCTGAGGCCTTAAAAAACTTGACACTTGTTCTGGATGAGACAAAGAGGTTTAGATGTGATTGGATGTTTTTGTTGCACCACTCAGCTTTTGTTGTGTTTTTTTGACCAAGATTTGCACACGTATCTTTTGTAGGATCCGTTTTATTTGTAGTTCAACCTTGAGCGCAGCTATGCAGTTAAGAATCTGAAATGATTAAATCTTTCTTTGCAGGATGTGAATTACAAATGCCTCACTTGCCTTTTAGCAAATAATTTATCCTGTAGAAATGGCGAGTTTTGAGTGAAAACCTGCTGGATTCAAATTGTTGATGCCTCTTCTCTCTGCTTCCTCTGTCTCTGAGGTAAAACGCTCCCGTTTCTCCCTGCATATGTGAAAATTGTGGTTTTGGTATGTTTGTGTTTGGACTGTAATTTCTCTGTAGTTCAGTTGCAGTGAAAAAATGCAAAAATAATTGTGGAGTCACGTTTGGTTTCTGGATGTGATGACTTGTCTCTGTAGCTCCACGCTCTTTTAGTTTCATCCCTCCATCACTTTGTTTACGGACCAAATCTCTCATTACAGTTCTGGAATAAGCAGCTCATCATAGTTATGTTTGAGGTTTAATGGGACATTATAATATTTATAAATGACATCAGTGGACCATTCATAAAACATATATTTATATGTTTAGTTTCCATCTGGTATTGGATGTTCTCAACTTCTTCCTTTTTTTGTTTGAGAAAATTACATTATACCTCATTACACTTATTTTGTTTTTATTTACTAATGCAACTGAACTTGAATTGACATGAAGCCAACTCTACTATTTTCTCACTATGTAGAAATCAAACATTCCACCTGCTGCTGTTTTCTTCTCTCAGATTGAAATGTGTCTCATCCCTCTATCTTAACATAGTTTCTTTTCTTGGTTAAAATTTACTTCTTTTTTTGCAACAACCACTCTACATGTGGAACACATAATTTTTGTTACATAGTATGAGGTCAGAAATTCAGGAAGGTGTGGAAATCTCTTTAAATCTTGTGTATCTGTTTTGCTTGTTCTTGGTGAATCTGAGGGTAACTGAGCCTTATTCTGTTTTTACTGTTGGTGTTTGATAAAATCAGGATGTTTTTTACAGCCTGTTTGTGTGGATTTCTGTTTGAAGTTGATGAATTTGCCTTAAACTGTAATTCAAACGCTAATTTATCTGTGGATGGAAACAACCGATTGTCTTGGCACTTATCTACGCGTTGGATAAGTGGGATCATTCATGTGTTCTGCAGCTGTGTAACTGTTTCATGCGTGTTGAGTCATTGCAGAATCATCTCTGATAAAATGCTGATCAGCAATCATTACTTTGTTTTGTTATTAATTATTTATGACACATCACAGCTTCTTGATCATAGAGCAGCATAGTAACACTTTTTATCTTCTCATCCTCATGTAGCTAAATCATTTCATGCCGACTTTAACATTTTCACCATCGACTTGCTTTACCAACTCACATCACCTTTAATCTTCGGATTAACGATAGTCCAGTACAAGATGCTGATCAGAGCCAGAAGGCGGGTCTTAGTGCTGTTAATCACCCTCTGTGTGATGCTTCTTCCTGACAGCAGAAGCTTTTGTGAACACTAAACTAGTTAGCATGGCCACCGATGATGGAGGATAAACGGTTTTCCTGTAACGATAAGTTGTTTCTCTGCTATTAGCACACTGAGCAGCGAGAACAGGAGGGTGATTGACTGCACTAGTAACTTCCTCCTGGCTCTGATTGGTTGTTTTTGGTCGGGAGCGGTGCTTTTCTTCAGACAGTAACAGGAGCTCTATGAGGAGGTTGATCTTCTCAGATTAGCTGTCACAACATAAGGACAGTTTTACAAAAATGTGAAAACATTTATTTAAAATAAAAGTTACACACTGAAGCTATAATTTAAAACTTTAAAGCAGCTTTGCATTTTCTATAATATAAAATTAATTATTACGTCAATTATATGTTTTTGATTTGGATATCAAATATGCAGACAAAAAAAGGATAAACATTTCTTAAATGTACACAGGAAAAGAGTTAAAACTTTCAGACTTTTAAGTCTGGACAGATTTTTAAAAGCCAAGATGCTCAGTAACTCGTGACAATGACAGTTTGAAGGAACAAACACACCAGTAGATGGTGGTAATAAAAGATAATCTAGTTATATTTCTCTGCCAGGCCCTTAAAAAGGAATGATATTTTAGTTTGACGACGCTGCAGCACTTTATCTGACATTCATAAAAAATGACTAAGCTGTAAGAAAGCGATAATGGAGCTTAAAAGACTGGAGAATGAGGCTTTTACTGTTCCAACGTTGCCTTTATACTGTATATGTTCCAACTTCAGTGAGGAAAAGAACATTTTCACTATAAAGCAAGCTCAGTGTGAAATGTACTGCAGAGGTTGCAAGACATCTTGCTATTTTAAGACCCAGTCTGTGGCCCAACATCTATTTTGAGCCCACAGCTTCCCTCAAAGTGCAGTTCTGACCAACTCAGAACCTGAACACAGCCTGGATTATTTCCATATCATCAAGTCCATTACACTCTTTACAGGCACAATATTATTTAATAAAATTGTGTGATTAGGCCTGTCATGATAACAGATTTTGCGGAGCGATTGTCTCAAAATTATTGCGATAAATGATAATAATGTTTGAAGACCTTTTTCACTGATTTAATGGAAATGACGTAATAATACATGCGATTTCCTGCCAAAAATCAATACACTTTATTTTCAAAAGAACACTTAACACTGGAACTGATAAACAAACTAAACAAAAATAATAATAAAATGGATTCTCAGTCTCCATGAACAAAAAAGGTACTTGAATAAAAACTAAGCAACATAAAGCCAAAGTGGATATAAATATTGCATTCAACCAAAAGAGTGCAGATTATGAAGTCTGTATACTATATTGCCCTTCAGTAATCATTAGATTTAAATAGAGAAGACGTCATATCCGACTGCCTGATGCAATAGTTCACACTACACATTTTTTTGTGTGGTGTGTTACGGTAGATTGTCGTGGCCGTTCCGCCATAAATCAAGGATTTTCGACTTGGAGCGTTAACACAGCCTGTTGACTGTAACAGGTAGCCAATCGGAAAGCGGGGCTTCTCCTGTGAGCTTTCTGAGGGAGGAGGGGAATCCCTAACAGCTGAGGGGAATCCCTAACAGCTGAGGGGAATCCCAAACAACTGACACGGCGCAACCCGAAGTCCGGCGGACATCGGAGATATGTGGAAACAACATGAATGTTTATTCAACATTTCGTGCAAAGAAAATACGAATAAGGGGAGGAGTTGTAGTGAAATTTCTACCGAAGTTCATAAACCTCGTGACGTTTCAGCTGTTCTTCTAAAAGTGACCTAAATTGGTCATAATGATTTTCCTTCAGTCAGTACTGACATGAGCCACATACATTGCAGGTAGATTATAGTAAAGCATTGATTAATGCCTGGTTTTAAAATGAGTTAACTGGACTTATTATTTTCTGCCCATTGTTGGACACCACACTGTTTGATCAAACCGTTAAACCAAGGATTTCTGTCGGCTGATGTGTGGGTCTCTCAGGTTTTGAAAATGGGCCGACAATCGGCTGACATTTCTAAGATTGTGTAGTGCATGCTGGGCATTAACCTAAGGACATGAGGACGGGAGGGTCAGTGGAGAGCACCGGACTTGAGCCTTTTTTCATTCAGAAACAATAAAGCTGATAATTGAAATGAGGTCGATAGTTTTAATTTGTCTTGCAATCAATTGATTTATTGTTTATCGACAGGCCTAAGTGTGATAGACAGTCATTAAGGTTTTTTCACTTTCTACTTGGGAGCGTCAGCAGTGAGTTTGTTGATCAACTTGTCATAATAAATGACGTTCTCCTTTCGATTGGTGTGTGCTGTCAGCATCTCGTCCATCTCCTCCTGAGTGAAAGGTTCACCTGGTTAAAAAACAAACAAAAACATGCAAAATGTTTTTCAATGAAAAAACAACTAAGACTGAATCCACTTATTGTGAGTAGCATTAGCTCCTGTTTCTTCTTAAGGTTATTGCTTCACCTTCCTCCATCATAAACTTTGACAGCTCTTCGGGTTCGAGGAAACCTTTCTGCTCTTTGTCGAGAACCTGGAAACAGTTTATTGCTTGATATTGTTGCTCATGTGAAAATCTGAATTCTTGTGAAAGTATCAGCAAAAGCTGCTGCAGAGAAACAAATGACAGGATGAGGAAGAAACAGCCAATTTCACCTTGAAAGCCTGAAATATTTTGCTCCTGGGGATGGGAGGAAACCTAACAGACACAACAACCCACCAGTTATTTTCTGCAGACATGTCATACATGGTTAGTGATACAGAAACTACACAGGAATCATTCTGTTTTAAAATGAACATTTAAAAATAACTGTAAGCAATTTTTTTATTAAGGAGTTTCACAGTATACAAACAAAACATCTGCATCAAAATGTGAATACTGGTGTCATGGAGCCACCATGAATTATCTTACTTGTTCTCCAGCAGGACTTTGGTCATAGCCGGCAAGAACTTATCTAGATGTACAGTTCCGGAGGAATTTTCTTCCACCTGGGTGGACAGAACGAAATACCTGGGTTTTACTCTTTAAACTTTACACCAGAACTTTTGCACATTAAAGGTCCACTACTATGCTAAATACACTTTTGCATGTTTCTGTACTTCCATTATGAGAACGTCCCACATCTTAAAACAGTCTAAACAACAACAAACACCCACTTGTTTTTTTGGGAGGAAGAAGTAAATGTTCTGCTGGTGTCTGCAAAAGAGACCTTGTTTCAAAAACATCTAAATTGTGTCACAATCTGTTACCAAGCAAACCCAAACTAAGTCCAGCCCCTCAGCTAGCAACCCAAGTGGAGCTCCGCCCACTTCATTCAAGTGGAGCTCCGCCCACTTCATTCAAGTGGAGCTCCGCCCACTTCATTCAAGTGGAGCTCCGCCCACTTCATTCAAGACGCTAAGCTACCTCTGCTGTGGCTTCTGGAAAAGGAAAATGTTTTTGTGCAGTCCAGTCATTTTCTCTCATTCACGGAGAACAGAGCTGCGTGGCTTCATTTTATTTTTGCCACCAATGTCCCGGCGATGTTGTGGTTTGCGCAAATCATTTTAGGTAGAAATCCTCTGACAACCACCAACATTACAGGACAGGATCTATCAAAGGTACTTGGACTGAAGGAAAGCTCTGTTCCTGTTCGTCACAAACCTGCAGATGATGGTGATGTAAGTACAAAATGATGTTTAGTATATTTTTGTTCACAGCAGACATGAGTTGTCAGTTAGCATAAGCTAATGCAGGTCCTCACTGTTGCAGTACTCTACAATATCTGCACCTTTACTGGCAGGAATGTAGTAAACTTGAAATAATGGTTTATACTCAGAAGATACAGAGTTTGTGAAAAAATGTCGGACACTACAGACAATGTCTGACTCAATTTATTTTTTGTACATGTTGAGAGAAATGCTTCTTAGAAAAAGGTCACATTTGAGGGGGGGAAAATTGTTTTTTGTGCTGAATTTTTTTGCATTTAGAACAAAGAAGTCCTACTGTGCATCTGCTTGAAGGGCGTGGCCAGCAGCAGCTCTTTACGTCATCGTGACGTAGCATTCCTTAATGAGCTCAAAACGGCCAGAAATGATCTGGTGAAATCTCAACATTTGGGAATGATTGTGTTTACTATTAAATGTAACTAACATGTTTTGCATGGAGACCCAACCTACGGCCGTTCAGTGGGAGCATGGTTTGAAACCAGTTCGTTTGTGTATGAACAGAATAAACAATCAGACTGCTCTGACCTCGGCTATAAATTCACGTATGTCTGCTTGAGTGGGGAAGCAGTCCAGAGAATACATGATGGTACCAAGCTCCCTGGAAAACAGGCACATAATGAGGGTTAGAAGGAAACATTACATCTGCTCAGCTTGACGCAGAAACTGCACTATTTTCTGACCTAGTTTGGATTCAAGCTTTTTAAAAATAGTTACCAACGAGGTAAAAAAGAAAAAAAAAAAGACCTACTTCCTCTTCCTAGTTAATTCTCCCAATTTATACAGATTTATTCTCACTGATTTCAGTCATAATCATCAAAACAAATAGAAATTAAATCTTAAATGTGTCTCTGAGCCTAATGAGTATGAGCTCCAATATTTGCATGTTATTATTATTGTTGTCGTTTGGTAATAATTGTACATTCATGTTAATGCTGTTTACCGAACGTCCACCGTGTTTTTGGACTCGTAGTCAAACGGCTCAAAGGCGGCTGTTATCTTCCTGTGAATGGTCACAATGTTTTCGTTTTCTGCAACAAACAGGGCCGAATGACGGACACCGCTGTTAAAACACCTCCGACTGATGAAACAAGTAACCGCGGCTCCGCTAAACCCGCACATTGACTCCATTAAGTCGGTACCAACCTGCGCTTTCTGCGTCCTCCGCCATCTTTCTTCTTGTTTTCCTGTTGCCTGGCAACAGTAAATAAAGTTCACAAGTAAATAAAGTGAAATATTGAAAACGTTTCAAGCAATAATATTTATATTTATAAGCTGCTGAGACTTTTATTTTAAAAAAAATACTCGTGCAGTTTCATTATATTAATACTTGATTTCTAACAACACTCACCTAATAATTAGACCAGCGGGACACAAAGAAATAAAAGAAACATTTTATTTATTTTTAAAGCAAAAGCCTTTAAACTTGATTCAAAAAGTGAATAAATAATTTATAAATTCAGTCGATTTACAAGCATTTCCTCGCAAACATTTTGAATCAAATGCTAAAAAAAAAAAAAAAATCAGTTATTTCAACTGGTCATTCTGGATGTAATAACAAAGATGAGCATTTTCTGAAAATGTATGTTGATTTATTTTATGGCACATAACCGATGTATCTAAACACACTGGGTTTACTAGGCTAACTATATGTCAGAACAGTGTAAATAAATAACAGTCTAATTGCACCCCTTGGACATCATGAATACCAAACGGATAATAATAGTTCCAAACAATGACGGATCCCATCAGATGAGGGTTTCGATGTAGGAAATGTGACTCACTGATCACAACAAAAAGGCTTTTTGTTTTTTATTTTCCTATTTGCATGGTCAGAAATCATCTTTTGTCAGTTTGGTCATTCAAAATAAAGATCTTGTCTTTGTCAGGGGAGTGTATGCGTTTTTGGTTGTATGCAAAGGAAATACTGAAAACAAACTAATCCGGGATTCATTCATTCAACCTCCACTTCAATTTTATCTGAAATAGGATATTTGTCAACATCTTAGGATGTGAAAGAATATACATATCTATATAATATATTGTATTCTAGCATGTCAGAACAGACTACTTTGGTGAAATATTTCTGCCAATCATAACATTTTAATTTATGGAAAGATTAGGAGTTTAATTTAAAACCTCTACCTTTGTAAAAACGTTGTGGGAATCACTTTATTTGTAGGAAGATTGCGACAGAAAGCCGTTAAAGCGACCCAGCATTTTAACAGCCATTTTTTAAAATATGCTTAGAGATTCATATATTAAAAAAACACACAATTTACAGTGATAAATTTATCTTTAAAAGTTTTTTTTTCTAAAGCAGGCTAAATGGTAAAGTGGTTAATATTTATATTTCTGGTTGCCCTTGATGCACAGGCTCATGGTGGGGTTCTGCTAACGCATTAGGAGGTTCTTGATCTCGATGTTCCTCTGTTTGCTTTACGGGTTCGTCCTGAAGCATCATCACGTCCAGGTGCTGCTCGTCTTTCTGCTCGTCTTTCTGCTCCGCCGCTCCTGCATTCGACTCCACAGCAGCTGTGTTTGATTGCATTTTCTCTTCTGCCAACTCCGGCTCTTGATGAGGTGTTTTGTTGTCGCTTGAGCCCTTTAAAATAGATGTTGGGAAACAATGTCACTTAAAAAATAATGTAAAAAAAAAAAAAACAATCAGAATGTGACAGTAAATCACTGGAGGAAATCTCAAGGACTTTAACAGCTGTTACAACGATTAGCATTTTAATCATTTGTGTTAGTTGTTAAATGTAATGCTGAATGATTGGTTTTCATTTGTTATTATAACTAGCCTTAGCTGGTTTAGCTGCATCATGCTAATACTAAAGCTAAACATGCTAGTAGTCTTTACTCGTCACACTGCAAAAAAATAAACATCTTATTTCAAGTAAGAGTACAAAGTATTTGGTAAAAAGGATATTTTTACGTTTTTGCTTGCTTTACTTTACCAAGTACTCAAGTATCTTACAAATGTATCTTAAAAGGTACCATAAAATTGTACCTTCTATGGTAAAAAGTACAATTTAAAAAATTGGTATTGTATTCATCAAATAGTTATTGATCATTATGGAAATATTTGTCATTTTTATATCTGCTAAACCTCCTTTTAAAGTTGATTTCAACTTTAAAATGTTATTACTGTTGAAAGCTTATATAATAATTATAGTATTTATAAATATTCAATATTTTAAATATTTAAAAATTAAATATCTGATTGAATTTAAACTCAAATTAAATATTTAACCATTAAATATTTCATTTTGAAATTAAATATTTCAAAGCTACATAATCAGACAGAATGAAATGTATGTGAAAATTTGGGCATTTTAAAGACCAAAATGAAAATAATTCACATGAACAATATAATGACAAAATAACAAAATTGGGCAAAAGAAACATTTTCCAAATCAATTTCTTTCAATTTATAAAACATGAAACTAATAAAAACTGCAGGTGTGTCTCTTGTGAATTTTTGGTTAAAATAAGTTTATTCTTCATTCAGTGAATTTTCTCACTTGTTATCCAGAAACTTTACTCAATTAAGAATTACGGTACTTCACACTAAAATTGCTCAAATAAACATGTACAGCCTTGTAAAAAGTTAATTTTTTCCACAAACTGACTCAGTAAGTAACTGAGTACATGTAACTAGTTACTACCCAATTCTGCTAATAATGCAGCATCTGAAGACAATTGGAGATAGTTTATTAAATATAACAACTTTCAGATTTTTAAATAAAAAAGTATTATAGATAAAACAATGTGTGCATGTTATGTAAATTTTGCTAACGTCAAACAGTGTACCTGTGTGTTAATCAATGAAGGCGACAGCAGCTCTGAAGGGTCCAGCAGGCCATCCTGGTTCAGATCCTGAGTTTGTAGTAAGAAATCCACCATGGACACCACCTGAACCCAAACGGCACGAAAAGAAAAACACATTTACAAAAGCAGCCAAAAATCCCTGAAGGTGGTATTTACAAATACACACAAATGCTACAGTGGCTTAAAAAACAACCAAATGCTGATTCAGTCACTTCAGCTTACTTGCTCACTGGCCTCTAATCCCAGTGCATGATGGGAGTTGTAGTCAAAGAGCAGCTTCATGATCTCCAAGCCATCCAAGAATCTGCTGCGATCATAATCATAAAGACGAAACAGGAAGAACACCTCTGGAGCAAAACAGAGAAGACGCGTTATATACTAAAGTTCATTTAAATTTTGAAAGAGTATCTAGAAAAAAACTCATGTTTAACAAAAACAAGTTCCTGTTCCAGGATGAGGCGGTTTTTGGCCACATTGATTTAAATTTATTTTGCAAAACGACAGTGGAAACACTTTTTCACATAATGTGAGACGTGATCAACAGCTGGACGTTACTACTGTTGAAAACAACAAAGAAGACAACAGGAAGTGGTTGATGTTGGTCCCAGTGATAATGGTTTGTTTTGACTTTTGAAACTCAGAAAGTTCCTCTTTTTTTCTGGAAAATTTCTGAGATAAATCTCAAAATTTGAGTTGTTTTTTTTTTTCTTTTTTGTTTTTGGTGGAAAGTTACTCTTTTTGTCCCATCTGTTATGACCCAAATACAACATCATAGGATGGAGAAGCAAAAAAAGTTCAAGTTGCTTCAGGTCCAATCAGTGATAAAATGGGGAACAATCAAGTCCACGATCCGAGCAATTTGATATGTTGCTTTTACTTCTTCAGTTTAATCATTAAGATTACTTACCCTTTGAATAATTCAGTGATTTATTGATCCGTATCTGTATAGATCTTAGATATTAAGTGTTGTTTGCAGTAGGTGTCGTCTACCTTGCTCCCAGGAAGTGATGTCAGGACTTCCCTGGCCGTTGCGCAGACTTTCCTGAATGTAGCTCTGCAACAACCTGCAATTACACAGTTTTACAAAACATCAGGTGGAAATAACAGAAAAGATAAAAATAGAACAAATTAACTGGTGAAATTATCATTATAATAAAAATCTGAATTGGGAATATTCAAGTAGTAATAATAATAATAATAATAACAAAGTCTGGAGTTTCTCCTCTCATCAGTGTTTGGCCCTGGCCACATCAGCAGAGTGACAAGACAGAACCTGCTCAGTCCACTGTTTTACATCATCGCTGGCAATGATGAAAAACCTTAATAGTGTGGCTGGAGGAAACGAGTGGTGATGTGGGCGTAACCTTGAATTGGACTTTCTTAGAAAGCTCATTTCTAAGAAATGGGCTCCATTTCTGGGTTTGCAGTTCATCAGCTGGGCCTCGTTTGAAAGCCTCTCACCTGCGTTCCTCTTCTCCAGAGCCAAAGGGGTTGATCAGTCCTGGAGGGGGACGGACATCTGATTCTTCCCTAACGGATGGAATAACAAAAACAACAAACTAAAGTAGATCTATTGACATGTTTAGTTGGATTTATTCATTTTAAATCCAACTAAAGAGGCAGCATATCAGTACTTTTTTTTTATTTTTGTATCAGAATTTAGTCATGTTTTTAATATTTTCTTATCTAAGTGTTTAGACTATAACAGGTGCGTTACATTTTTGGAGAAAATCCTTTTTAGCTAATGAGATTTTATGTTGCTCAGTTCTTCAGAATGAGATGCTGCTAGCCACGCCCCCCAACTCAATATTTACACTCGCACATGAAAATGGATGCAAAATTATATAACTAGACATCTTTGAAAAGCACAAGTGGAGCTTCCTGCTTAACCAACAAGAATGGAGCAAGTGGTTTCTGGATGGTGATTCAACAATAAAAACCAGCTGACCAAACATTCTGGAGTGCCACTGGGGTTAGGTGACTGTGCAGTGCCTGTAGAACGTAATTTAATAATATTATTCTGGACAGCAAAAAACATTGGTGTTTTTTTTTTAAGCGCTTTGAGTGTTTTTACAAGCAGTAGAATGTGAAGTATTAAAAACAAGGAAAATGTTAATGCCATTGCCCCTTTAGTTGATGCACTTTTTCTCTCAATGTCTGATGTCAAGTCAGACATTGAGACATTCAGCCCAATATCTCTCTGATTAGAGATATTTTTTAATTACAAGATCAGAAATAGAATTCTAGATATCATAATGTTCTTGGTCACAGTTTCCAGATCTCTGAACGAAATGCGTCCAACTGTCTGGACGATTACACGCTGGCATAAACACAGCTGGGTTCCTGATTTCAGAGACGGATGTTTTTAGGTGTGTAACATAAACATCACCCAATATTTACCTAAAATAAATTGTTATACCTAACAATTTACCTAAAAGAGGAATAGTTTAGTCTGATTTAGTGTCAAACAGTGACAACATGAATCTAAACATCTACTGTCATCTGTACATGTTTTAGCTTAAATTTAAGCTTCAAATATTATAGATGTGATGAGTGAGGCTCACTACTGGAGTGATTGGGTCACCTTTGAGTCCCAGGGAGTCCTGGTGCTGCCAGGCTCAGGTTAATGAGGAAACACAGGGACAGAGCAGGAGGAACCAGCCGGTTCCCCATTCGCAGACCTGAGAATACACAATGATGGGATTAACCACTTCAAGATTTAATCTATAAAAATATATGAACAATACACTGATAAGCCCTCTAACGTTTAGTGAAGGACTCAAAATGTGTGATTTTGTTGTAGATCCTAGTTTGAAATAGTAAAATGCTTAATAATAAAGAGAAAATTTAGATGGCAAAGACCATAAAACATTGAATTTCTAAAAACAGAGTAGAACAATAACTAATCTTAAAGGGTCAGTTTTCATTTTGACCTACTTACCCTTCAACAGAGAATAAAAACTGCAGGGTTTTTTATGCATCGCAGCAAAATTTGCTTATTTTCTTTTGCTAATAGCTTCTTTGATGTGACTTTAATCTATTTGTTAAATCTGAATGGTTCTAACTAAAACAGTCTGAAGATTTACAAGACTCAAAGAAAACTGACTTCGGGTTTAAATGTAATGCAAAAACCGAAATAAAAATGTTATAATTTGTAGAAACAGGACTGTGTAATCACTCTGGGAATATCATTTGTATTTTTGTCAATGAAGGCAATGATTTTCATTTTTATTTCCACCTCTGTAATGAGAACAGAGCTTACAAATGAAAGTTGTATTGATGACTTGATCATATTCATGAGATAAAACCTAATAATAATTATCACAACAATGGGATGCAGGACAGACGCTTTTCCTCTCCATTGTTGTTTTTTCTGTAACTTGACTCTTGTAACCATCATTTTGAAAGTGAAAGCAGAATATTTGATTTGTGTAGATTGCTAATTTAAAGGGGGGGAAAAACTATTATAAAATGTTTTCCTTTTAAATCAGACTTTATATTAAATCCCTGCAGCTTCCTCATACAGTCGATGCAGTTTGCATCGTTTCACTGCAGCATTATCTGTCACCGCATTCACTCGACGGGACAAACTGGTTCCTGTGTGATGTCTTCAACATCAAACCTCCATCTCGGAAGAATATTTAAGGTCTTGTTAAATCCCAGGACCCTTAATAATCTGGAAACTCAACATTTAAACGGGTTTAGAGTGAAATCAGTGCAGCATCTGTGTAATCTGCACACCGAGCCTACCTGAATGCATAGCTGGAGTGTTGACAGGAGAAACGTTGATTTCCGCAGGTTAAAGGTTCATTTCTGGAGGACACCTCCGTCCCGTCCCGCACCGCCCCGCACCGCCCCGCCGGCTCTGCAGCACTGCGCCCTCCCCCGCTCCGGTCCCCGCTGCGGCTTTTGCTCCGTGGCAGGCTCCACGTGGAAAAGCCCGGTCTGTCTTTGTCCGGGATTTTCCTGCCACGCCACGTCCACGCACACAGTCACATTCCTCTGAGGGTGCGGACACACAAACCTGATGATTATGTTTGTAATCCTGGCTCAGATCCCATCGTTCAATGGGCGGAGCTGCAGTTCACTCTCCAGGGTGAAATGCGGTCGGCCTTTTGTTTTTGCAGCATATTTAGGGTCGTGATTTACGTGCATCTTAAATCCAGCAGCTGCAGCTTTCAAGGAAAGCGTAGCGGCCACTCCTGTATGGAGGACCGAAAGTGCCAAAATGTAATAAATTAACAAATTGCTACAGAGGTGAGTACTGAAGGGTGGCACGACTTCAACACACGTTTACTTAAGTAGGGTTAACAAGTAACTAAGAAATGACTCAAGTAAGAGTAAAAAAGTATTTGGTAAAATATCAAATCAAATGATCAATGATTTAATATTTAAAAATTATATAATCGGACAAACCGAGATATAAAGTTAAATGAAAATTTTGGTATATTAAAGACAAAAAAAATCATAAGTAACAAAACATTTATTTGAAATGAAATGTTTCCAAATCAATTTATTTAAATAAAAAAACACACACACAAAATAGAAACTTTAACAAAAACTGCAGGTGTGTTTCATTGTTTGGTGAATTTTTTCATTCAGGGGGTAGAAAATACAGAAATTTACTCCAGCAATAGTAGCAATACGTTATACTAAAATTACTGAAGTAAAAACTGGTAAAAACACTCCTAAAATTAAATTTTTTCAAAAAAGTTACCTTAGTAAATGTAACTAGTGACTATCCAACTCTATGTACAAATTTAGATTAATTGGCATTGCTCCCATCTATTAGTTTCTATTTTTGTCTCACGTTTTAATATCAGACCAAAATTACCTCAGTTAAAATGAAACTGTACCATTAAAATGTAAATTTTTATGAAAACATCTGACTCATTTGCACGTCCCTTGAATTGTGAGCTTGATATTTTTTATTTCTAATAACTGCACAGCATTTTCTATTACAGTTTTGTACAATATTATGAAATTAAGTGGCATCAGATTAATATTTAAACCCTCAAATATGCTTTACAATAAAATCAGTCATGGCCATTGAATAAATGTAACTCAATGGACGCTGGTGGTGGCAAGCTACTGGCAGGAATTGAACCAGCGACTCACTGATATCAGAGCCGCTTCCTCCATATAGATATATAGATAGCAAAGGTTCAAAAGGATCATGGTGAGAAGACGACTCCGACTTTTTTGAGTTGGTTGGAACAAAATGTTACACTTATAGCAGATCAACAACTCAAGGAGGTCTATAAAGTGAACTGACTGGAAAAAAATGAGAAGTTTTTCCTGGTGTAAAAAAGATAAAGGCGTAAACAGCAAAATTTATCTTCTTCAGACCATTGATGATATAAACTTTCCTCTTTAAAGGAATAACAAGTCATCAGTTCCAAACATAGCAGTAAGTTTGTCTCCGAATGACTCAAAAAACCCAAAATGATGAAATTAAATTAGCTGAAGTTTAGACTTTTGTACGATTAAGAAGATGTCGGATTATTTCAAAACACTTTTTTACGTGGCTGAACAAAAACAAGAAGAGCGGGAAGACATTTCTCCCAAAACCTTAAAGGTGGGACGATTACTTTTCCACATAGGGTCAGGTTAATAAAATCCTCATCTGAAAACTGGATTTACTTAGATTAAAATTAGAGATTCAAAATACTGAATGTTTTCTGAACCCCCATTAAAATGGTTCAGTTCACATCTGGAAAATAAAGGAAAGAGCTGCAATTCCACAATCTGACCAGAAGATGTCCCTGCAGCATTTTATTTAGCTCTAAGTGTCATATTGCAATTCACCATATAGTTTTGTGGGAAATGTTGAATTGCCCACATTCAAATCTTTAAATGTTAAACATATTTTCATTAAATGCCACATCTTCAGTGGCAAGTTTATAAAAGATTTCCACCTAAAAAGAACTCAAGGAGTTCAAATTATTTTGTTTTCTCAGCCTTGAGTAAGAACTTTGTTTTAACAAGTTTTTAATAATGAAGTTAAGGAGCAGAAATGCCAACACAGTTTAATCGGCCATCTTATCAGCTGTAATACAGAGTATAAAGGCAACAACAAATTGTTATTTACTTAAAGCAACATGAGTTCTTACGCCATAGAAACACGAGGATGTTTGTTTTTTACTCATCCAGATAATTACAGATGAAACTACGCAGACAAAAACAAACACAAGCTCACTTCCCACATCCAAACGAACGAGTCCTTTAGGTTTCAATACAGTAAACATGACAGAACACATTTGAGCTGAAGGAAGAATTCAACTTATAAAAAGTAAATAATAGAGCTTTTCCAAAGTAACGAGAGCAAACCTTGTGTTGAAAATCTCAGTTTCAGAAAGTTTGTTTTCTGACAATTGGCGAACTATCTTTACTTCAAATGAGCAGAAGAATCTTCTCCTCCCATACAATTTTTAGAAAATTAACAATGAGAGACCAAGTTTTCAGTAATTACCATATTACCTCATATTAAATCTGGCTGTACACATTATAGTCAAGGAAGAAGAGAGAGACCTTCCAGTCTTAGGATGAAAAGAAAAGCGATACAGAGGAGGTCAAGCGTCTCTGTTCCTGAATGCAGCGCCATGTTGTTTCACAGCTGGTCGGTGTGCAAACATCCCACCGACGGCCGAGAAATGGGATTACTCTGCAATTATTCACACGATTTACTGTCAAATATGAGTCAGAGAGTAAGATATCTATTGTTTTACATCCTCCTACAGTATTAAGGCCATGTTTTATCCCTGGAGTTGTATTCACAGCATCAGGAGGAAAAATTACAAAAACAGACCAATTAATTACTCAAGTTTAACAAATTTGTTCTTTAGCTGTTCATGTTTTACTGCACATCAGCTTTACTGTTTTCAGAACAGTTGCACAAATTGTTGCAAAAGTACCGTATATGCTTCCCTTAAATTTTCCTACATATTATTATGATAAATCCCAATAAAATTTTAAATGAATTTTATTGGGATTGACCCACACAACACATTGCAAAATTGTGAATGTGATACATACTTTTCATAACTGATGTGTTTTGGTGTAAAAGTATGAAGTAGTTTAGTAATCCACCAAAAGTTTCTCATGCTTTCGTTTGATGAAACAAAAGGTGTTTTATCAAAGTATTGCCTCAAAGAGGCAAATACAGCTTCACATTTCAGATTTTTATTTTTAAAAATAAAAATCATTTCTTCCCTGTTTTCTGCCTTCTAATAATTCACTCTGTGTTGATCATATAAAAAAGTGAAGAAATCTAAAAAGTTTTATGTGTTTGACGACTTGTATATAAGGTTAAAAAATCACCAAGGTAGACAAGAGGAAAAAAATCAATAATTTTCCCTAGAGGACCGTTTAGTGACACTGACTTTTCTGCACAGTGTCACACAAATGCACGTCTTTGTTTTCTTAAGCGTGCTCACACAGCCGTGACGCTCACACATGTCCCAAACTGAGGACATCCCTCCATTACATAACAGGGATTAGGCTCCTCTTTTTGGTGGCCCCTAACAGTGAAAACTGTGTGAGTCTATTTTTGACCTCTCGACCTCGGTGTAATTTCAGTGTATGCTCACTGCAGTAATTGGTACATGCCGTCCCAATCTGCATTCAGTGTGTGGGCCTCAAACTCTCTGAACGGACGCAACTCAAAGCTCAGCTGTCTGAAAACTGTCTTTGTGATTATTCCTCTTACAAAACGTTCAGTAAATAAATCTACCGATGGATCTGGTGTTTTGTCATCAATAATAAGGAATTATTTACTTAAAACAAGCTCATATCTTGCTGCAAAGTCACTTCTAAGCTAGTTTTGTCTGATTTCAGGTGTACTAAGATATTTGCACTGGAAACTAAACCAACAACCCAACATGTTGAAAGAACCATTTTAGATAAAAAAAAACAAAACCCTCAAATTTGTCTGGAGCCACAAAAAATTAAAAGCCTCTTATTAGGTTTATAATGAAAGCAAAACAAGCTTTAAGTGTTTATATTAGCCTATTAAAATAACTAAGTGTATACCTAATTAGTATTTATGATTAAATGTTTATTTTCCCTGCAGGGCGTCCTGGACGGAAAATGACGCACCACTTGACTCTGTTGTACAATGATGCTTTAAGTTTACCTTCTGCTACAATATCAATGTATTGTGTTTTGTTGCATTGATAAAATTAAAGAAATGCAATAAAGAAATCTGATTTTTGATGTAATTTGTATTCGGATCGACAGGAAAAGGGTCATTTTTTTTCCTTTTGAAACTTGGAAAATCTGCATAATGATCGCTTTTTGTAAATGTGGTGGGAACATTATGTAATTTAAATTTCTGGACCAAAATAATAAGTTGCTCAACATCGCCACCCTGGGAATTTCTCCCAGGGAATATTTTCTTCTTTTTAAGGGACACAGATTCGGTAATGCATGGAGTGGAGACATCTGAGACAGTTTCAAATGTACAAAAACCCATTTACTAAATTCTTTTAAAATGTTCTTTTAAAACCATTTCTGTCTAACAAAAAACTAAGAACAACAAGAAACTACAGTAGCTGAGGTTACAGGCAGAAGGGACCACTATAGGGACACCACCACACTCCGAATTTAACTGGTGAACGTCCAGAAATCCAGGAGACAAAAGAGCAGCAATGGTCCAAATATGGGGGAGACCTATGAAAGTTAATTGGTCACCGTTTCAAATAACACTGCAGCAAACTGGAGCTTACAATGAGCGTTAATTCCTTACCTGCCTTTCCACACAAATGCACACACACTCACAAAATGAGGAAGAGGAGGAGAGCAGCACAGTGACGTTTTACCTACGATCACACTTAAATTTAGATTTTCTGGCAAAGATCAGCTATAGTGCATGGAGAGAGGACACCTACCGGGAAATCAGAGCAGCATGCACCACAATTAGCAATTTGTTGCCATTTATTTGTACTCAATTCTTGGTCAGAATCAGGAGGGTATGGATACTAGTCTAAACACTAGTCTAGACTAGACTAGCAGTTTGACGTCATGAGCGTCTAATTGGAGACTTGTGTCAGAAAATGTTCTCTAGACATGCAGGGTTCAAACAGTCAGGGCAAATTAACTGGAAGATTTCTTCATTGCAGCCACACATGAACATGACTTGTAAGCGTTAAATGACGTACGAGTCATTTACACACATATA